AGCAGGAAATTTCCACTTAAATGCGTATGTGAGGCTGGAAAAACGTATGATTTAGAGGGTGCCAGAGGCAGATTATATAATGAAATCATGTAGGGCTCTTGAGCTCTCTTTTTAACAGGTACGCTTTTTTTTAAGCTTTGTTTGTGGTTAGCTTCTTTCCCCCGATTTTTAATTTCTATTTTCAGAACTGCAATACACAGAAGACCACGGGAGTAGCTTGAACTCTCAGGAAGGTGCCTCCACATGCCTAGGGCTAGCACAGGAGTATCCTACCCAGAAAATGAAGCAACCCAGTCTAAACCTAGAGCCTGAGCTCTAGGAAACACACACATGCATGGAAACTCTTAAAATTGGTACAATACTAGGCAGCTGTATAAAAAGTTTTTAGTAACAGGTGTGAATATTATAGTATCTCTTCAGAACAATTGCTCTGTGTACCTGATAAGAAAAGGCTTTGTTATAATATACCTGCATCAAAGTGATTCAATTTGGCTGTTGCACACTGAAAAAGTATTCCTGGAAGGTCTGCTTTTCATTAACTACATGCCTGGGTTGATGGATAAACCAATGTATGCGAACAACGCCGTGCTGTGGTGGTGGAGACTGAGGATCTCTGTTTTCTTTAAGAAATACTAAATGAATTTTAGGTGATAAGATCTCTTTAAAAAGTCACTGTGAGGCTAACCATCGCGTGATCAAGACCTCTAGGAGGCTCAGGACCTCAAAGCCAAGTTAGGTGGCAACGTTCTGATACTAAAAGTGCTAAAAGGAGCAAGTTGAGCGTGGTGAAGTACTGCAGTACAGATGGTGCGGGTAACTGCGGCATCGTACAGCCTTCCTGTTGGGCTGTTACCACTGGCTGCCCTATGCTGTGAAAAACTGGCTCTTGCCTCCAGAAAACTTGAGATTTTTTGCTTGTTTTGGTAGGTAACATAAGGAAGGAGTTCTTACGTTTTAACATCCCCAAACTTGGGAAAAAAAGCTTTAGAGTTAGACTGAGTTATTTAAGCTTTTTTCCCTTTCTCTCTAGTGAGTGAACGCCCCCAGGGCTGAATATTCTCGAAGTACAAAAAGAGCATAGGATATTAATCTAAACTCAAATGTGTAGATTACTGTATGTAGGTATCTGAACCAGTTTGTTTTGGAGGCATCCCATTCAAAAAGGCTGTTTGTAAATAATCTGTGAAGCACAAAAATTGTTTTAATTCAGAAAAATTGGAGAAGGGAAGAGATTTTTATTTTACACTGATGCAGTTCATCTTATTTCCCCCTAAAGGACACCGTGGTTTAATGGATGGGGCTTTAACCTACCCAGAGGTCAGTCTTTGCTAGACAAGTGGAACCTTATTCCTGAGGGAATTGATATACTAATGACACATGGACCTCCCCTTGGTAAGTCAACCAAAAGCTCTGTGTGATTTTTTGCATGAGAATTTTACTTTCAAAATAAGCAAAATTAATAATGCTTTATAAGCTATACTGTAATAGCAGCCTAACTCAAAACTGTGAATTAAAAAGCCTTTTTGGAAGAAGTGATGATTAGGTTTAGCAGATCTATTGAGTTTCCAGGTGTTTTCTTAATAAAAACTAAATTTTTTTGTTAAAATCAAGCTAGGGAAGATCAAATACCTGATTCCATAGCCATTATAGTTTGACACTTTATTTAAGAACAGTATTCCTCTGACAAACAGTTCCCAATCCCATATGATTTTTCAGAGATGGACTAAAACTTTTAAAACATCTTACCACTGCCATGGCATGTTTCCTTAAAGTTTTAGAGTATGCAGTCAAGAGTTCAGGAGCATGTAGCTGCATATTCTCTTTGATAATGTCCTTGTAAACGTAGAATATGTAACAGTAGTTTTAAAGATATTAATTGGCTTGTAGCAAATTTGTGAAGGAATAAAATTATGCTCTCAGATAATTGTTCCTTACTGAAACTAATGACGGGTGAGCACAAGTCTATGAATGCATAATTTGTTTTTTTCATTAAGTAGTTGAAGTTTTTCATTTAGTTAAATTTTGCTTGCCTTGTAAGCGTAATTCACTGATCCTCATTTTAATTACAAGTTTTAAACTAAGTTCTGATGGTCTCAAAAACACAAAAAGATGATCATTGAGTAGAGGCAGAAGTGCTCAGTTCTGGCATATCTAAAGTCATTAAAGCCCACACTAAAACCATTTGAAAATTCCCGCTGTTTTTTCCCTGTCCTGTAATCCACAAGATAGGTTCACATATTATTTACCGGTTTTCTTTAAGACGTGTGGCAAGCTTTTCAGTTGGTTTTACAACTGAGCATCTGCCTTTTATAAATGTGGCTTATCAGGATAAGAAAGTGTGTCAGTCTCTTCTTCATTCCCGTTGTTGTTAGTAGACTGTGATTTTGTCAAGCTTTTAGTAAGCTCTTGAAATCCAAGGGGTCATATCATCACATGAACATGTGAAGTCACTGACTTTGGAGATGGTAGTGAATATAAAAAAAACTTCCCAGAATTGCAAGGTGCCATTATAAAACAGCATTGAAGTGCTACCGGGCTGGCTCAGTGCTCTCACAGAGCTGCTTCGTGACCGTGGAGTCAGGAATTAATATTAGCATGCTTGTGTTTTGTATCACAATTCAGTTAAAAGTCAGCAATCTAAACAGAGCCAAGGAAAAAAAAAAGTCCAGAAAGTTTTCACCAGGAATGTACTTACCGCTCCTTTTATATCCTGGTTACTCTTTTAATACTACTTAAAGAATGTTGTAAGGCGATCCGCAAATTCTCTGTCACCTTACTAGAGCTACCAGCGTGCTGCACTGATAAAGCAGTGATGCACCATCCACTGACAGCGGAGCGCACCAGATACTGAAAACCAACGCTTTGCATAGCACTCTTTTCATCTGTTTCTTTTCCCAAAGAAGCAAAAAACCCCACAAGCGTGTTTACAATGTTTCAGGGGTGCTATTTTAAATGGGCTGCTAATCCGTCTGCTCTGAATTGGGTTTATATAGAAGTACTGTGATGCTGCAGACACTGAGTGCTTTAACTGAATAAGAGTACTTAAGTTTTGGTTTTGATGGAGATAATGAAGTCCAATTTCAAAAGGTTGGCACCATATTTTAACTATAGACACAGATTAGGTGCTAGCACTGTGCCTAAATGGAGTCTTAGCCTGCATGGTAATAGTGACAAAATGCTGCCTTTTAAATTACATAAATATTAAGGGAGGTAGAGCTGTAACTGGACTCTTTGTTCTCTCCAAAATTCAGTCAAGTTCATGTCACAACATGTTTTTACTACCTGGGATAAACTTGGCACAGGGTGTAATTACTTTAAAGTCAGTAGAACGGCGCTACAGTTAGATGTGGCTCCTGATTTCCCTTCTGCTCCTCCTCGTTCTGCTTGCCCTTGCTAGTCCAGGCAGCAGACTTCCGTAGTAACTGGTGTCAGGTTCTGTGCATCTTCCCGTACTCTCCGTCGGCCCCATAGTCGATTGGCACTAGCTTGTCGGAAGGTCTTCTGCTGCATTGCTTGTTGGTGGTGACCGGGACTCCGAGGTAGCCAGGCGTTTGCAGACCATGGTCCTCTGGAAGTGGTGGGAGACTGCCTTTTAAATCTTTGGGGTGGCAGAGGTACAGCTCGTAGATCAGCTGATCTTCCTGAGGTATTTTGTTTCTGGAGATTTATTTCTAGCTGGCCTGGAAGCTAACTGCGGTGAGAGCCAGGGGAAAGGGAAGAAAAATCCACAGCAGTGCCGGGAATAAATGTCCTGGGGTTTCAAGGTGGAAGATGAGTTTAAACTTATAGTATAAAAAACCAAATCACATCCAGAAAAGTATTAATGCAGATGGAAGGAGGAAATCTTAAGGAAGACAAAGTGACAGTGAAACATTTCTTAAAAGCCATTGTGTGCTTTAATGGAGAGGTTACGACTACAGATAATGTAATAAACCTTCTGTGAATTATGACTTCCTGAAAGACTACGTGAAACCTTACCTGAATAGAGAAAATTAATAGTATTGATTGCATTTTGCCTTCAGGTTTTCGAGACTGGGTTCCAAAGGAGCTGCAGAGAGTGGGTTGTGTGGAACTGTTGAACACGGTGCAGAGGCGAGTAAGGCCCAAACTCCATGTCTTTGGTGGGATTCATGAAGGTAAGGAGCAGCATTACTCCCCTCTTCGATCTCGGGCTGGTTTAGAAGAAGTGGGTTTTGATGGTGTATTGCAAAGGATGGATAATGGCATATTGGAGTAAAGTAGGTAGGGAACTGAGGGGAGCGATTGCATGCACAGCATTTCATAAATTTATTCCAGAATTAAAACAGACTGTTTCAGGAACATGTGCTACATTTAGCCACCTACATCTTTCACTGTGCAAAGGTTGTTCTATACAGGTTATTTAAAAGCAATTCAAATTTTGACAAATTTGGTTAGAGAAACAGATGAGATTCCCCACACTTGCAAGCCAAAATGAAAATTATCCCCATTATTCCAAGCACAGGAGCCAAGAAAGGTGCTAGGGGGAAAAAAAAAAAAAAAAAAGAAAATCGAAGACAACTTACTGTCTCAGCTTACCTCCCTCAGCGTATAAGGAAAAGCGGAGAGGAGGGCATCGTCAGTCAGACGTCAGGAGGAGAGATTGCCAGAACTCACTTTCCATACGTTTCTAAAAGCATCCTGTAATACAGTTTGTACTGTGTATGTTACCTTCCAACAGTCTCATATTTAGAAGACATACTTCCCCACTGTCAGTACCAGCTTGGGCAGAGTGTGAAGCTTCAGAAACAGTAAGCTCAGTTTGTGGCAGTGGAAGAGACTGAGAGATTAAATCCATTTTGGAGATACTTAAATATTTAATACAATTTTGTAGCTTTCATGTGGCTGAGACACAAACACTAAGAGTTCCTCCTGAGAGAGAGTGTAAGACTTTCTGACCCTAGAACTCAAAATTACACATTAAATGCTTTATATTGTCCCCCCTGGAGGTTTCTCCATAGGCTTAAGGATTTGGAGGACTTCATAAAAGAAAAATAAAAAAAAAGGACAGCTTTCTCAACTAGTGGTGTTGGTTTTTCTGAAGCCCTTGTGACTTCAAACAGTGAGTTTTATGCCTGGTATCTGTAAATAAAGAGTTTATAATGGAAATACTGACCTTAAGTATAGTGGCGTGAATAACAGTCTTTTTGTATAAATATTAATCATTGCATATTAATAACAAGTGAATACAACAGGAGTTCCAGCCAAAGCATGTAAACTGCCTACAGCCTTTGTAGGCACATTGGATGATATTTGTAGTTGTAATAGTGCTGAGTAATGGGAGAGGAAGGTATTTTAATGTACAAGGTCGTTACTATGAGAGTGCAGAGGAACCACATTTAAACCTTATGTTTAAACCTCATAGGAAAGGTGGTAGCACGTATTAAAAGTGAACGTTCAAATACATTCTTACAAGAATACTAACAAAAAAGTTAAAATCCCATTTAGTACTTACGCAGAAGACGTGAGAATGGCTTGTTTCAGTACAGAAAGAAATAGCCAAGTGTTAAGAGCGTTATCTTGCAGCGCAATTAGTTGTCATCTCACTCCAGCTGAGGTGAACATGCATCACATTTCATTAAATCAACAGAGGCTATACACACTTTTGGTGATGCAGGTTTTTTCCTCATTGATAAGCAAGAACAACCGCAAACAAGGTTTTTCGCACCGTGAGATGATCTAAATCAAAATTGCCAGTCTAAATAAATAAAGTAATACAGGCGGACAGTGCAGCAATTCTGAAGTGATTATTCTTTCTGATAGACACTGTGGGTAGCTGTATTTATCTTAGCTTTCAGACAGTGTTGATCTGTACTACATCATAATAGTTTAAAAGAAAAACATTTTTCCCCTGTGGGTTAGCAATGGGAAGTTCTTTTCCTCCATGAAACTCTGATGTTGGTTGTTTGTTTGTTTGTTTGTTTTTTAAAAAAAAACACCCTACATTTAGTGCCAAATCCTTCCTAGTTTTTTTCCTGGCTTCTTTGTTAGCTTTCTGTGGATGTCAGCTGAGAACAATGGCAAAGCATCCGCTCACCTCTTGCACTGATGGAACTGGAGCCCCTATCTCCTTATCCTTGAGAGGGTGTCTGTGAGAGGGGAGCTTCTGCCTTCTCAGTATCTCTGCACTTTTGCTACTCATTTTCTTACACCAGATTTGCTGAATCAAGGCTCAGGTGTGACTCAGTTCATGGGTCGCTATAGTCTGCCCCACTTGCCCAAAATTACTGGAGTGCACAACCCTCCGTTACGTCCTATTCCTGTGCGGCAAGAGGGAGAGAAGATAGAGGCCAGCAGAGAAACAGCATTGCTGCTGGTTCCTCAGCTGCCCTCTGGACAAGAGCATTGCCGGCCCGATGTTTAGAAGGTTGAGAACAGTCTTCAGCACCCTGAAACTGATGACACAGTGTTACTGCAGAGTCAAGTCCTTGGCATGCTGAAAAACCCATGATTAATATTCACTACTTCTTGCTTTTTTATTTGAGAACACGTTATCAAGACCCCTTCGTAATGAAAAGCAGTCATCTTTTTAACCTTCACCTCAATTTTCTGCTTAAGCTTTGGGCCATCCATTGACCTCCAGTGCCCTGTTGTGTTTATAGCAGGAGATCCCTTTCCTGAGTCGTGATTTTTCCTGGCAGATAACTATATGTACAAATATATAAAGTAAATATGTATGTGTATTTTTAACTTGCTAATGAGTTTCTGAGGTTTCACAAGCCAGCGTGATCGCCAGCTTGGCAGTGCGATGATAAGGAACGGGATGATGAGGGCTAGCATGGGGAGAGCTTACCGCGTTTGGTTCATTGCCTGAGAGGGGTTTTTCTGTAGGCAAAAACCAAAGTTACTCCTAAATCTTGTGCTCCTGATTGGTTTTTCTTCTGACAAACGTTACAGGCGTGCAAAATACAGCTCGCTAATTAAGTAACGAGAAAAAGTACGTATGTGGTTTTGTCTCTGCTTCTGCTGTATCCAGTTGCAAGCTGGGATTTTCCGTGGGGGAAGAAAGTTTGTACATAAACATCTTATTTCAAAGACAGTACGCCGTATTTTCTCAATCGAGCCTTTGTGGCAGCTTTCAAGCGCTTGTATCATTTTGAAGGGATTAATTTAATTTTATTCCACAGGATTGATCCCACCACACGCTTTCAGCGCCGCTGCCCACGGGCGGTATCGTTTTTTTATACTGCAGTAAGTGTGACACTTTCTTCCCACAGGTTATGGCATTATGACAGACGGTTACACAACGTACATCAATGCTTCAACGTGTACAGTCAGCTTTCAACCAACCAACCCTCCAATTATATTTGACCTTCCAACCCCTCAAGGATCATGAAGCACTACTGCACATTTGGAACTGGGGAAGGTCTATAAACTGCCATTTTCTAATTATAAAACTTACATTCTATTACATGTTTATTTCAAAATTGGGGGGGGGGAGAATTTGGGGGAACAGTGGGGCTTTTTGGGGGGGGG